CAGACTCACCAGATATACATACCAAATTACTTGGTTATAGTTCCGTCCTTGGGTAAGTAGTGAAGTCTATTTAATACCTCCACTGTTCTTTAGAGCATAGCATCCACTTGTAAAATGCAACTTCACATAGAATGAAAGTAATGAATGCAGTCATTCTATCTTTATAAATTTGGGTTTTAACCACAGTCACCACGATACGACCATTAAAGAGCCAAACATAGATTTGTCAGGACAATTGAAGTTATGGGCTTTGACAGCCGTTCTACCTAATTTACATCTCCGGTCGGGTGCCGCAAGTGAAACTCACTCACTATCATTTATACTCCGAACAGCATCAGGTGGGTCTAGGTTTTCGTTCACAGTCATGTCTTACCCCACGAATATTCTATAGTACTTTAGGCATAGTACAAAAGCCCATTCTGGACCTCGATTTGTGAAACATGATATACGATGGAATCCCTAAAACTATGATACCTGATGCCTAACATCTCGTCGCTTTCGCAGATGATATCTCTGTAGTAGTTATGGTGGAAATATTACTTATGGCGAGCACAAACCAAATACTACCTTACGAATGCCAATTTTGGATAGAAATTTTAAGTGCAATGGACTGCTGCACTTCGAGGAGAGTATCAAACCATACCCGCGGCAGAAGTTCTAGCGAACAGCAGAATCAGCCCTATTAACCTACAAGCCTTTGAACGGAGTAAACGCTGGGAACTGAAATCGGGAAATAATTCAACACATTTTCGATTTAAGAGGAAGATGGACAGTGAAGCTAATCTCAAATGTAAAATCATAGATATAAATGAACTTCGCAAGATTGACAACTATCTGGTCATGAAAAAAGTAGAGCAATCGAAACTGTATATATTGCGGAACAGACGGGAACAATGCTGAGCATATTTTTTTTTTTAATTGCGAATAATGGCATAGTGAAAGAACGTTACTAGAAAAGCATATAGGTAACTTCACAGTAGGGAGTTTCAATAAGAAAATAAAAAATTGAGCAGCAAATTGAAATAAAATCAGACAATTTATCAGAAACGTGCTCAAGAAAAAGAAGAAAGACTAAGACGCAAACTAAGCTAAAACGAAAAGCAAACTCGAGATTTTCCAGGGACCGTTGGTTCTACAAGGAGTATACGGTGTGGATAGCTAATGCGTAAAGGATCCTCCTTAAAGTTACTTGAAAGCGATCCTGGGGGAGTAATCTCGATAAAGAAGAGAGGCTGTTTTAATGCGTGTACTCTACAGTTGGAATCGGGTAAATCGGGCGACGGTCGGTTTAACGCTGCCTAAAGCATTTCATCTCCTTATCCACAGAAAAAAAAAGAAAACATAACTTTTTAGCATTAAATGATTTTTATTATATTAAGTTTTCCATTAATAAACACATCATAAAATCAACTTATACATATGCAAATACAAATATAAATATTTAGGATTACATTATTACGGAATGTTTGTGGTGTGTAAAGAATTAAGTTTCCACTTTTTTTGTCTTTTATAAATATGTTACCTACATTATTTTATTTAGTGATGTTTGTTCAAAAAGTTACAATTTGCAAAATATTTCACTTCAATCCTTGCACTTTGTATATAGAAAGCAATACATGTGTATAGATGTAGGTACGAGTATATGTATATATGTATGTACTTAACTTATATTATATATGTATGATAGTAAAAATTTTGTAGATATTTCAAAATTAATGTGAGACGGTGTGTTAAATGACTTAAACAAATTTATATAACTAATAGATATATAATAAGATTAATTTGGTAATTGATATTCATTTTGATTTTTGATTACAAGGATTTATTTATTTATTTGAAGCAGAGCTTGTTCTTGTGTACTACATGATTCATTACAAAATTGCCTAATGATGGTTTCTTGTATAAATATAATAAATGATTTTAAGTTTAAATAAATAATTCAATATTTTCTTATAAATTAAAATTTGCATTATTTTCATTTTATTTGTTTTCATTTCTGCATCTATATACTAGCCAATTGATAATATTTGTATAATTTATACTACAAATAATGATTTTTTTTCTTTCGTTTTTTTTTATTTTATATATACGCTTTTAATTAAGTTTTTTATATATATAAAATTAAGCAAATTTTATATATGTATACTGAAATTTTAGTTAAGAGTAATTTATGTGCTTTGAAATAATTAAATAATAAAATAAAATAAAATAAAATATTATAAATATATTGGTACACAAATTTACTATATATTAATTTTATAAATTCTGTTTTTATTGCAATAATCATTTAATTATGGCTAAAAATGCTTCTTAAATATTAAGTGATTTTACATTTATATATATGTTTATACATATATGTGTGTTTTAATTTCACTTATATATTAACACGACTTATAGTTTATAATAAATTTATTATTAAATTTTATATATATTAAGCACACAAATTTGTTAATAACTCCTCAATCTATTTCTTAAATTTATTATATAAATCAACAGTGTGTTATGTAAGGTGTACTTCTAAGGATATTCCTAATTAAAATCAACGGTTTATTGCATTAGACAACTTCTAAGTATACTTTTTAATTGTGATTTGCATTAGTATTTAAGTGACTTGCTTTTGAAATAAAAGATATAAGTGTGTGAATGATGGTTTACTTTATAGAATATTTTAGGACGTGTGCGAGTTAGACTAAGTTGATGCTAAACCAAATGGGAGATTTTTTGGGATATTTTGCACTGCACACATTTAGCCATTTATCAACACGTATCGGCACATCACTACATTACCGGCACAACTTAAAATTTCCCTCATTTAAAACGCAACTTAGCCTAACTCGCACACGACCTTAATACTAATTATTTAATATCATCGGCAAGACTTTAACTGTAAATAATTTAAACTTCTTCGTAGTAAACCAAATATTGTTTTATGTGGAAATTTTAGAAAAATGCTAACTCCAATATTTATTCAGTGCATATATGTTATATACATATATATTGAAGGCATGTATATACTCATAGTATATGTATATATTATGAGTGCATATATGATAATGGATTTCTTTTAAAACATTATCTCTTTCAAACAACACATTTAATAATTTTTAATATTTCTACCTTTCATTTCACAAATTAATTCTTCAAGCCATTTTGTCTTAAAGCAATTCAATTTAGAATTCATTACTTCAGATATTTATAATTATTAGAAAGTGAATCTCTGTATAAAATATTTCCAAAACATTAATGGAAATATATACTCATTGTATTTCTTAGGTATTGTATGTATGGAAACACCCACTTCATTCATAAACGTAGTCAAGAACCTGAACAGGAAAGAACTCTATCAAAATTTCTTTATTGTTGTTTAATTTTAAGAGTTCGTTTTATTTAATTTACATAAATCTGTAACATTTTTACAATAAAATAGTAATTTTGTCAAGGAATGAAATTTCGTTATGGGTTCCGCTGGCTACGCCTATGTAAATATCTGAGCACTGAGAAAAATTGATAAAAAATCTTAAGAAAGTTCATTTTTACATTAAAAGTTTTGTTATTAAATACAACAAATATTCAATATAATTGAAAATTTCAGAGCTACTGTGAAGTTTCAGTATTACTTTATTTTAAACATTAGTACTTACATAAAACATTAGTAATTAATTATATATTAAGTACTCTTTTAAAATATGTTGAAAGTATGTATGATACTTTAAAAATGTAAAACAATTTTTCATATTGTAATTAACTAAATATTTATGTTAAAATGTTGTTTGTGTTTACCTTAAATTAACACAATAAAAACCATTGAAAACATTTTTAAATTTACAACACATTACAACGTTGAATTAACTATTCATTTAGCAGAACTAAATTTAAAGTTGTCACATCTAGTAGCTGTAGTAATATGTGAAAAAATCATAAATTATGTCTTAAAAAAGTGATATCTTTAAAAGAAGCATATATATGTGTTATTTTTTTAAACATTTATTATTTATTTTTTTTATTATAATTAATAATTTGCTCTTATCAAACTATTTCTCACTTCCTCTATTGTTCTATAGCGCTTGCAGTCATTCTATGAAGCCTTAAAGCCTTATACATTTTATCATTAACTATAATAAACTACAGTTGGCAACACTTTTCTCTTTGAAGGTAGCAGTTACAGGTTTTTTCTTTTGTTTATTATGCTTGATAATAATAATATATATTAAATTGTTATAAATATTATTAGCGTGTTTATATTATAAATAAATTTAAACTCAATATATAACTCAATAAAGCCTTGCATTTTGACTGCACAAACAAATAACAACAAAAAGTGATTTAACTTCATTTTAATTTAATAATTAAAAATTGTTATTAGATTTGATTTAGCTTGAATTACTTTCAAAACCTATCACAAAATGTATTGGGCGGATTTTTAGCGTGTTCCAACAAAACATTCAAATATACAATATATTTTCATTTATTTATGTTTTAGATGAATTTTTAACTTAAGCTTAATTCAACATTAATTTTACTACTTTAAAAGCTAAAGACGGATTCAAAATCAACCAAAAATTTGACTTTAATAATTATTTAAATTGCTTTCTTGTGGGACTTTTAGCAAAAATGAGTGCAATTTTAATTTTAAAATTAAATCTCTTAATTTTTCTTAATTTACTTAAGTTTAAATAAGCTTTGCATTTATAAAATTTGACGCTCTTTTAACAATGAATTTTGTTTTACTTTGGTTTTTGTATATCAAATGTCTTAAATGATTTCTTTTTATTTAATTACAAATTACTCTACAATTATTTTAGTTATTTTCTTAATAGCAATTTTAATGATTTGACAACTTACACATAATTTTTATTTAATAATAATTTTGGTATTTGTTATGGAAATTAAAAGCATCAAAACTTTCAATTATTTACTTAAATATTTATCCGTTTAATTGCTGTCTTCTGTGGAATTTATATTTTATTTTATTTGTATTTAATTTATTTGCAGTTCCAAAAATTCAAAAATTCAAAAATTTCTTTCAGATTTAAGCACTACTGCACTTTGTTTGCAGATAATTGTTATATTAAAGGTTATATGCATTTTATATATTCTTACTGCATTTGGTTTTGGATTAAACCAAAATAATAATCCTTCTCTGTTTCATAAGTGATTTTACTAAAATGCGTTTAGTTTGCTTGTTTGTAGATATTTCTTTAATATATTTTTATTTAAAAATCAAAATATTCGTTGAGTTTCATTTAAAATACAAGCATTTGATCAGCACTGCCCTCCGCACTATCTTCGTCGTCGGTTTCCTCATCCTCATCGTCGGATGTAAGTGATGATGCGTTGTTTACTACCGATTCTGAAAGGATAAAAATACCAAAACACTTATAGTAAAGAGGTTGTAACTATTTTCAGAAAGTTTGGCAATTAAAGCCGTAAACCTAAAATATTTAATTTCATGCAAAAACTTTATGAATGCAAAACTTTTGCAAAAGTGTAAAATTATTTTTAAGCAAATTGGAATATTATCATTAAAATAAATTACGAAAAATATTTCATATTTTCTAAATTACTTCAAAACTACTTAAGAAGATTATCAGAAATAACTGACACTCACTCACAAATTGATTCTTATTTCCATTTATGAGGTCATTAAATCATAAAAATTTAAAGAATATTCTATGTTTTTCGAATTATTTCTAAACTGCTTATAAAGTTTATTTAAAATAAGTAACACTCAATCACAAATTGACTCTTATTGCTTTATAAGTGGTTATTAAGAACCAATCTATGCATTGCACTATAAATATAATACATATAATTTAACATTTTATTTTTATTTTTTGCATTACTTTAAAACTATTTAAAAAGATTGTCAAACATAATTGACATTCACAAATTAATTCTTACTCCTATATTATTGGTTATTCAATCCTATATATTAAAAAGGTATATATATATATACCTACATATATAGTAAATGTACACAGAGTACGAAACTATGTTTTTAGAAAATATTTTAAAACTATTTAAAAGGATTTATTTATGATAATCTGTGTGATGTCTATAAATTACTTATTACTCGCAAGTCTGATTATCTTAAATTATTTTGAGGTTATTGTACAATTTGGGGTAGATATGCCATCCTTTATTTATTTATATTTATTACTGTATTCTAATAGTTCCAGTGACCAAACAACACTTATGTTCGGACGATGTACTGAAGGTATGGATTTATAATCACCAAGGTGTGTATGGGTCCATGAGGGTGACGGCACTTCAATAAGAGGTTTGAACGCCATACAATTAAAACAATTAACATTACTCGTCTAAATATATAAACAATTATAAACTAGAAGGATTTTGTTGAGTTGAAAATGTATTAAATTATAACACAAGTTTCATACTAACATAATAACTATTATATGCAGAAGTAACTAGTTTCTTGCTTAGATTTAACATGTTAGATTTATTAAATGTAAATGGAACATTTCTTATGCATAGACATAAAATGTTGAAGTTTATTCAAAGTATTAAAATGCATTTAACATTTAAAAGAATTAGGGTTTATGTCTTTGGTGAAATAAGTAGCTTGTTTAAGATTTTTTACAAAAGATAATGTTAGCGCTGGTGAATCACTACCTTAATCTTAACATAGAATTAGTTATCTTACTACAATGAATAAAAATACAATAAAATTCTGGTTTAAATCCATTTACTATATTACTACTAAGGTCAAGACCCACAGCTTCGCTTGTCCTGACGAATAGAGATTGATTTCTTAATAGAAGTGTTGTGGTAAATGTGGTCTTACTTTTTAACCAAGTGTCGTGACGCAAAGAACAGCAGAGGTGTTAGATTGGACTCGCTCCCTCCCAAAGAGGAAACTATATTCAAACGTATAGCTTCAATGGGTAACAGCGCAGTTCCTATGAATTCTATTAATTCTATGAATTCCTATGATTCGTATGTAAAAGTGACGGTAGTTTACGGTAGTTTATTACGTTTAAACTATGTACTCTGTAGTTCAATCGAGCGTTGGGTATAAAGTGTAGTTCTGTCTGGAAGAAGATTATGAAGATGTAAGCATGCTTAATTGGATACAAATTTCTTCTCTTCTCTTGTATTATTGTTCTATAAAATATCCAGTGAAAAACTATGTATTCTGTAGTTCAATCGAGCGTTGGGTATAAAGTGTAGTTCTGTCTGGAAGAATATTATTAAGATGTGAGCATGCTTATTTGGATACAAATTTCTTCTCTTGTATTATTGTTCTATAAAATATAATGTTATATCCTAACATGTGCTAAAATTTGGATTGTTTAGTTACTTTAATAAAAATTGATTTTTATCGTTTGTTTTGATGAAAGTACTAAATTATTCAATAAAATTTTATTATTTAATAATTAATTGAATTTTTGGCTATTTCGAGTATTGGAAAATATCTATTATCAGTGGTTTTAGAATTATATTTATATTTATTTATTCCTAATTAATTTTTTGACACTTCAAGTATCAAGGGTTGAAGAACTTGTGCCTTGCCAGTTTTAAAGCTCAGAATCAATGTTCATTAGCCAACTGACTTAAAGCCGTACTTAACTTGTATGTTCGAATTTGGGTTTTGTTAATTTGCTGTGAAAGTTCATTAACAAATTCATTTGCTGTGTTATATTAAAACGAAATCATAAAATAGCTATAGAAAAATTGAATTAATTAATTATATATATTTTTTTTTGATTCTTAAATTAGATAATATAATATATATAGTTCATTCATTTGCTGTGTTATATTAAAACGAAATCAGAAACTAGCTATGGAAAAATTGAATTAATTAATTATATATATTTTTTTTTGATTCTTAAATTAAATAATATAAGATATATTAGTTCAATATATCTTTAATATTTAGCTTCAAATACTATGTGTGGATAAAGGCTATTCAATAACTTGATTTAGATTTAATTTAGATTTGATTTAGAATCTAAGCAAATCCTTTAGTTTATTATAAAAGTCAATTTTAAATTAAAATAAATATTATTTTCATTTTCATTTAATTTTATATCCAAATAACCTGTCAACGTGGCATTTAAAGACAATGTCAGGCGAGTATTGTAATGTGCTGATCTCTTGGGTATTCTCAATCACTGAAGAGATTTTATTGTAATGTATTTTATTGAATTATAATTATTAATTGATCATGTTAATGTTAATGTTGATGTTAATGTTAATGTCTTGTTCGAGAGTTATTATTCAAGTATTGAATTTGCAGGCAAGTATTGAAAACAATTCGCCTACAGTTATCCCTCGTATTCAACTAAATTACTTGAATAAATAATTATCTGCTATCACTGAGATTTGATAAATCTATTTATTATTAAATAATTTAACTTGCACGTTATTGAATCGATACTGAATACTCGAATATTCCTTAATTTGTAGTTTGCGTGCACACTTACCGCAATTAGGCTTTCCTCTAGTGCGTGTATTGGCAAACTCAACGCCGTGTTTATCCACACACCAGCAAACTCCGACTGAATTGTGGCATTGGGTGGGCTTGTAGAATCCTTGAATATCGCAGTCAGGTGCATATGCGCCTAATTCACAAAAATATCAAACAAGAATGAACAAATTTATGAGTAACTTTGGCTGGATGAAATTTTTGCTTTATAAAAGCAAAAAGCATTTAAATAAGCTTTAAGAGAAATTAAAGGAATTATTAAAAATTAAATTTCATTGTGGAAAAAAATTGTGTGTAAAGCATTTCGGTAGTGAATTTATTTTAAATATTTAGCAAGCATACAATATTCTGTAAGGTAGAAAAACTTTTAAAACTGTTGGGGAAAATTTGCAAAAGCTCATTAAAACTTAAATTCCTCTTTTATGTTTTGTGTTTTATGTTTTATATTTGAATATTTGAATAAGTTACTTTGCGTGCTTAATACTTTCACTTTTCCATAAACATTTTTTATTTTAGTACATTTGGGAGGAAAAAAAACTAATTGAAAGTAAGTCTTTTGTAAGAAATAAAATTCCACCTGTACCTATCTCACCTGCAAAGTCGCCGGCAATTCTTCGTCTTACAGCAGCGCAAGGACGATCAGTTTTCTCGAAGCAGCGGCACCATTCGCGTGTATTTATTGAATTGTCCTGATCCAAGTCGCAAGTATCGATGAATGGTTTAATGCAACGCTCATTTTGATCATGTTCCAAATCGTACATTTCCTGCAGTGAAAGTAAGCCATCATTGTTCAAATCCAAATGTCCGAACATCCATTTGGCTTCTGTCTTGCAGGCGGGTGGGAAGTGTGCTTTCGATTTTTGATTGTGCTGTCGACGTTTCTTGCTATCGGCCATAATTACTGAAAACCAATCCAATAGGCGATTTCCAATTGCGGTCAATTGTTGTGGTTTGCATTCAGGTGACTTCGATGGATATCCTGTAAGTCATGAATTAATGAAAGAAAATTATTTTAATTTGTAAACCACAAAATACGCACCACTATTGATGTTGTTATTGTTCTTGATGTACTTCTGTGGCTTTTCAACTACTTCATTGTAACCGCGAATTTTGTGTTTATCCTCTTGATATTGATTATCCTGTTGATTTAAAAAAATAAACTTCAACTGTATTTTATATGTAAAATTAAGTTTAATTTAGTTTTGCAATTTGTTTATGTAAATTTAAAGCAATTTTGTATTATTACAAGTGTTGCTTTAACATTTTTGTTGTATTGTTAAGATTTCTTTCATATCGTCGTTGTTTTTCTGCGAAATGCTACACAAATTAAATATTTAAGGCAACAGCTCATGCATAGCAGAAGCACAGCACAGCACAGTACAGCACAGTACATCCTTTACGATAGCGCACTTTACTATGTATTACACCCAATGCACACTTCCGTTTCCGTTTTCACACTTCTTCAAATAATACAAATGCACACAAACAGAAAAAACAAAAACAAAAACAAATATATTGCATACTAATATCTATATATCTATATATCTATATATATATATGTATCTGCACTTATGTATCTTTATACTTGTACTACTTGGAGCACCACCAACGACATTGGCTGGTTCACTACACTCATTCTTACCTTTTTGTAGGCGGTGTACTTGAGGTACTTGTAGTGTTTGTTATCGTATTTGATTTCCTCCGGTGTGAATGTGAATTGGGAATTTATGTGATTGTAATGTCGATTGTTATCGTCCTTATCCTGACAATGTATTTGGATGCGCAGAAACCAGCCAAGCGAAAGACATACAACAACAACAACAAATAGTCAGTTAAAAAAACAACCAAACACATATTTACAGATAAATAAACAAATAGACAAAATTTACGATTATTATTTATTCAGTGAATTTTAAAAATTAAATTAATTCCGATACACGAGTATAGTTTGTCAAGTTGACTTTATGGATGGCATTTCGTTTTTACACTTTGTTTTTTTTTATTTGTTTTTTTTTAATACAGTTTAAAGTATGTTATGCAAATTCATTTTTGTATACTCAATAGAAAATTGTATCTAGAAAAATAAATAGTTTTCCTTCGATTTGAATATTGATTAAGGCCATGCTCAATTTTTATGAGTGTCGTCTTTTGAATATTAAAGATAAATTGTTTAAGATATCAATATATTAAACCTATGAGATTGATATAAAAGAACGTTTGATATAAAAGTAATCAGAATAATGTAAAAAAAGTAATAGTGATTATATATACATATATCTTTTCAAAATAATCTCCATAAGCAGCAAGGCTTTAGACCATAATTAAACCGAAAACCAAAAAAATTAACTTTAATTTTTACCAGACTGAAACACGAAATAGTAAAAAAATATATATCTCACGTTTATTAACTTCCACCCCCTAGACATACTCCCCGTCCTCCTGTTCCAAGCTCATACTTTCTGATTTAGATAAACCTAGACTTCTAAGCATTAAACCTATTGCCCACATCACTCCTCATTAAAAATTGGTATGAAGTTTTCGCATTACGCTGGAAATCTTCTACATTCATTCCTAAGAGGTCGTTTTAATGGCTTAAAGTCTCATGCTATGGCTTTTGATGCTTTAAACCTACTGCAAAAAAAAAATGTTCAACAACTCCCGATTGCAACCTTGTAATTCTTCTTTCGGGACCACAGCGCACAGTGTGACAAAACAAAAATTTGCCATTCAAAATTCGATATTTTCGGAATCAGTGACATAAGATTAGTGGTATCCCTAGATACCTTAAAAACTATGATAGGTAGAAAGTTAAATTTTGGTATCCAAAAAGCCTACATTATAATACATATGTCATAATGTGTTATCACTTCGTTGTAATGTGCTGTTTTGAAATGCTGTTCCAATAACTATTCAAAAGAGTTATTAAAATCTAGTTAACACAAACAATTCGAAGATCTGATGAAACAAATGATACTTAAGAGTCTAAAGCTGTAAGTATTCTATGCAAAACTGGGGCAGGATACATGAAACTCTACCTAGATAAGATGTTGCAAAACCCTCTCACCAATTTGCTGCAAAGTTGTGGATTTAGGGACCCCTCCCACAGAGTATACTCGTAAACGAGATTTCTTGAAAAAAAAAAATGAAAACTGAGTGAGTGCTTTGCCAAATGGTATATGGTATATAGTAATTGAAGTTTAGAGAAGGAGGAAAAAACGTTTAAGAACTGCCCAAACCTCACTTAAAAGCGTTTAGCCTCTTCAGTCGTTTAGCAATGTATATTAAATATTGATCTAATAAAGGAGGTGGTAATATTACTAATGAACTTTATTTCATTGCGATTTAGACTATCCTAGTGACGGATATAATTTTTAGGGCAGTTAGTTCTCAATAGGAATTTTGGTAAATTTCATTATTCTGACCAACTTTTTCTACTACCATATTGCTTGGTTCTCGAGTTATCGTGCTTTTGAGTTATAAGCTTTTTGAATTTAATATACAAAGAACTGCTGACACTATATTGTTATCGACATAAAAATTTCGCATACAAGTTACACTTTCTTGCTTGTATAATCAATATAAAAATATACAACTTTCAAACACTATATCTGAAGAATCTTACAGTCAATATCAGTATACAATATAGTGAAAAGATAATGAAAATTACCAAAATCAATCATCAAATCGTGCTACACAAGAAGTCGTAATCTCTCTTGTTTCCATAGCTTCGACCATTTAGAGAGACTTTATAAAAGTTTATATGCTGTTCTGTTAATCTATTTTAATGGGAACTTGTATCATTTGCGTAAGCAAACATATAATCGTAGATCATGTAAACATTCAAAATTATACGCTCATTAAGTTTATTGTTTTTTTGTAAAATTGGTCCTTTTATTAAGCACTCAGCTTTGTATAGATACAATTGACTTTAAATGATGCTTTTCAAAACTATGGGCATAGTTCTCCGGAAACATCTTACCGTTTTCCCCTTATCCGATTTAGCTTGCACTTAATGTGTATATTTGTAGTACAGGCTTTTGGCACATTTTACAAGTGCAGGAAATTTACAGATACAGCCTCCACTTACTCCAACATGATGAATACAAATTGTTTATGTTGCTTGTCTGACACAAATATTTCAGCGCTGTTATTGTTATGCTTTTTCGAGATATGAGTACATTTAAAAATACAATGTTTCAGAGTATCATATATTTCCGTGCAAGTGTGCATATCCCTACTTCAGCACATTTTCCGTCATTGTTACACTATGTGTGCCTACAACCCAGTGGAATACACACTCCTACTCCAAATAATTCAATCAAATTTTGCAATGCGACATCAGTAGGGTTTCCAGCAAGCATATGCACTTATTGTCAACTTGTCATCAAACGATGAGTTTGGATTTTATTTCAATTAAACGATAACTCAATTGTCATGAATATTGGAATATCAAAATATTGGACTTTCATTTGATTCTGTTATTTTTGCTATAAAATTACAGCTGACAATATTAATTTTGCTTAATGCTAATTTAAAATCAAAGCTATTTTTATGGATTGATTCGTAGTAATTAATTAGTGGTACTCATTTGCTGTAGTCGAAAAGGGTAATAAATAATCGAAAGTTACACTGGAAAAGCATATCTAATAAATATCTAATAAATATAAAATGACCAATTCCTACAAATCATATATTTTTTCAACATATGGTTTAAAAGGTAGAATCTGCAATCAGAAAGTTTTTGTAAAATTATTTTTCTTTTTTAAATGCTGTCAACGTGCACTTTTATGAAATTTTTAAAAAGTGCTGTTAAGTGTCATATATTTATTTTATTCTTTTATTCAATTTATGCAGTTAGTTAACAATTTTGGTGCTGGCATTGGAAAGACAAACAATTATGTATTTGTTTAAACCGTTATAAGTCATTAAGTACAGCTAAGCTGCACTGCATGCGTGACTGAAGTGAATGGATTTAGCTTAGGTTAGGTTGGAGTAGGAACCTTGTGTTCTTATGGTAATTAATATTAATTAGTAGTAATTAGTAGTAATTAGTAGTAATTAGTACTAATGTACTAATTTGTACTAAACTTGTGATATCAAGAAAGA